CGCCGGGCCCGCTGCCCGCAGCGCCTCGCAGGGCGGGAGAGCCGGGAGCCCCTGGTCGCGGCCCCGCCGTGCCCACAAGGGCTCGGCTCCGCGGGGGCGCCGGGCGCAGGGGAAGCGCCCTGGGAGGCTCCCAGTGAGAAGCCCCCGTCACTGTTAGACACTTGGGAGGGAAAAGCAGCGGTAAAAGGGCCCGGAACTGTATCCTAGAGGAGCCCCAGTGCACCGGCCAAGCTCCACTCCAAGCTCCTTGCTCTGCTCAGCGGGATGAGGCGGGCAGCTGCCTCCCGGCTGGAGCCCCCCAGCAGCCCCGTGGCCCCCCAGGAGAGGCCGCTTCCCGCGCGGAGACGCTCCAGAGCAGTCACACCAATAACCAGCCTTCACRTGGCATTCTCAAACCACTTTTTTCCAAATGAGTTACAGGTGACTYCCTTTGTCCATCTTCTCTCTTCAGCTCACAGGGAGTAACAGGCAGGATGGGGTCTCCTGTTCATTCTTTTGTTCCTCTGCTGCGTTTACCGACCGCSTCTCCTCCCGTCAGTCCCCAATGTGTGACAGGGACACTGCCACGCTTCCCAGGCATCTGTTGGTGGCACCATGAGTGGAAACCAACGGGAAGGGCACGGCTGAAACTGCCACATGCAAAYGGAATTCCCATTTTTTGACACGTTGCTGACACGAGATACTCATCACTAAAATTTCCCTCACCAAGACCATGCAAAMCCCACCAAAGCGTGAGAGTAACACTGGTGTGCTTGAAGCTGGGTGGGGTTTTTGGTTGTTTTGTTTTGTTTTTCTGGACAAAGCTGATCTTAAACTATGCTTTTGATCACAGCATTTTGTTTTCTGTGCTTGTGACACATTTCCTCCTATTCAGCCAGCCACCACTGGCCAACTGGATGCACCTGGAGTGCATCTAAAGCCCTTTCTAACAAGTCAGATTTGAAGGAGGCTTCCTATCTGGAAAAGCTAGGAAAGTAAGGAGCCATATAAGCAAGGAGCACTTGCTGTGCATCCCCATACAGGCAGTGGAGAAGGACTCCATGGGGCTGGGACGAACATTTCACTGTGGAGAACATCCACTCTGGGACACCGCTGAGCTTCCCTCCGTGGAGCGGTGGTATCCCGCGGCAGGTAAGCCTGAGGACAAGTGTGTCTGGCAGGTAACACAAASCCCCCACACCAGCCCAGCGCATGGCTGATGAGGTTATCCCTGCACAGGGTAGGTAGCGAAGTCCCCACCCCTCAGGAGAGCCCAGAGGGGCCGGTGCGTGCCTAGCAGGGCTCCGAGGCAGCGAGGCACCAAGCAAACAGGAAGGCAAGGGCAGAGCGCTTCAGAAATAGGCAAATTGGCTCACTCGCTTCACAGGGCAGGCCCCCTCCTTCTCCAAAAGCAACTTCTGTGGCACACCTTCCTCCTGGCCACCGACAGGGAAGGACACAGTTCTCAGCAGGGACTCAACCAGAGTAAAACCTGGTGGCCCCGCGCAAATGCTTACAGCTTCCCTGTGCTTCCAAAGTGGTCATGTCACCCTTGGGTTAGCCTGACCACACAGACATATCCATGCTAGTTAGTGCACACACTGAGGTTAGGTGATTGTTTATCCTCCAGGGAAATCAATATTGGAATTATTACTGGCTCCCAGGCCTGTACTCCTTTCATTAAACCATTCCTGTCATATAGATGAATCCAAGCCCTGCACAGAGAACTATCAGTAAACCTTTCATCCCCAAATTAGCTGCTACAGTAAGCATTAAGAGTGTTAGGCTCACATTTTTGTTCAATTTGAGCTGCAAAGTGGGGAGAAGCAGAGAAAAAGAAAAGAAAGGGAGAAGAACTGGAGAAGCAGAAAATGGGGTTAAGTTCTACCTGCTAACATACCACTCCGGTATCAACTATGAAAGGCATGTGCCCAGCAAAAGGATACACAATGTCCTGATATTCTGCACGAGTCCTCCTCCGTCCCAGGCTCTCCAACAAGGTCTGAACTGACCCTGCCTGCACTGGCTCCATCTGTTGACAAGTGCTCTGAATCTGAACCATTAGAAGAAGGGATCATTTCCAAACCATCAGCAAACTATTGGGTTCCTTCCTTCACACCTCCCTCCCTCATTTCCACAGACTGCAAACTACTTTCAAACTACCCCGGGGAAAATCAAGGGGCCCACGACAACACTCATGTCACAACCTAGGCAGCTGCTCACTTTCCCATTCCACCACACATCTCTCATGAGAGCGGGCCAAGCCAGCAGCTGCAGGATTCCCCACCATCTCCTTAAAGGAAGTTTACGGCTCCCCAACAAAGGCAGATTCAATCCTCTAGGAAACTGCATTCTTATTTTCCGAGGCAGCCACTGCATTCTTACCTGACGAAGAAAGAGACGGAGGGCACGACATGTGGCCTCAGGCAGCTCTGATAATTTGGCTTCTGCTGCCTCCTGCAGAATCTGGCTTATTTCTCTCTGAGAAATAATACTGCTGTTCTGGTATCTCACAAACTTGAACAAAAGGCAAAAGACAGGCAATAAATAGTGAATAGCTCACAGACTCCCAAAGTGATCTATCTCCTGGAATGACCTCCTCTTTGTGAAGAGACGCTGCAGCGCTCAATCCATAGGCACCACTTCAAACAGAACTGCTGCAAATGCCCATATTGAGATTGTTCTGACTTATACCTAGACTTACTGTACTTTAGCTCAGGAAGGAACGAAACTAAACTAAACTTTAAAGTCAAATAGCGGTAACAGAGGCTCCCAGACCGTCATGTATTTGGAAGGAGAAGGTGCATATAAATAACCCCTTCCTTTTATTCACTGTCATGAGAGCTGTGGTACCAAGAAGAGCTCTGTTCTTCAGAGAACCTCAGCACGCTCCCAGCTTGGCAACAGTGGTCGCCTGTTCTCAGCAGCCTTCCCCTCTCCTCCCCAGGGGTGCTAGATGATGGGAAAAAATGCTCCAGCCCCCAGAAGAACAGGCTGTGCTCCCTTAGAGCCCACATGCACTAGAGCAGCATGCTGAAATGGGGAACAGCCTGTCCCTGCCCCGCTCACCAAAGCCATGAGCCGGAGAATTTCTGGCTGCAGAAAGGACTTCCGTCCCCCACTGAGTAGAGTGAAGAGCAGGAACCGGTGCCAGGGCTGCGAGGCAACGTGTAGGGCTGGGAGAGAAGGAGAGGCCAATCAAAAAGAGCTTTAACATCGGCCAGGAGATAGTCTGGCCCCAGATAAAGAGTCTTCCATACTGACCCCTGTTTTTCTTTCTTAGACCCCAAGCTGTAAAACACCAACAAGGTATTTTGCTGTGCTCTTATTAGCCTTTAAATCTATCACAACCCGAGCAAGAGTTCAGCCATGAGGACAAAATCTTCATAGCTTTTTAAAGCAGAAAATATATTCTGTCCATATTATGCTTTTATGGGAAGAGTAACCTTCTGGAATGTGTGTCATAAAAGAGTAAAGGTTTATCTTTAGCCCAGGTTAAAGAAACGAAACAAACCCAAATCACTCTGCTTTCAATATGAGGCTGTGTTTCCTGAGTGGGGCTTTCAATTTTGCAGACTATTCTTTGGGGAAGGAAGAAAGCCCTGTATCTAAGAGTGGATCTGCATCAGAGAGCTCACCATGGGCACCAGCCAGGCTGATCACAGCAACACAATCAATCAGCAGAGAAAAGGTTGTAAGAAAGATGGATAACAGAGAGAGGTGGAGCTAAAGGTCCCTGGGTGTGACAGCATGAAATCTTTCACTCCATGCTAATTTAAATTGTATCACCTTGTATTTACTGCAGGTTAAGAACTTGTGCTGGACTCTTACAGCAGATGAACTGGTATGAGAGAACTTGTTCTACCCCAGGAACCCGTCACTGGATTTGAGGCCTATGCTTTGGAAAGGTCACTATTCCGCTGGCAAACACATAACCACCCTGCTGCCTTTAGGACAATCTCTTCTAAGGAAAAATAGCACTAACAAATCATGTAAAGTGTTTGAGGGGTATTTTTAACCTGGTGGAAATGAGAAGGTACCAGCACTGTGTGCTGAGCCTGCTCTGCATATCTGGAAAAAATCTCTAGGCCAACAAAGGCCTCAAAGAGAAGAGCCTCAAATGAGGATGCCTCTACTGGCAGAGACCAGGCCACACTCTGCAATTCTGTTGTTTCTTCCGGGCAAATAAAGCTGTGATCCTCACGTCACTCACAATAAAAAGGGACTCTCGTTTACTGCTGTTGTTACCTTCTCCATCACAGCAAGAATTTAGGCAGTCAAAGAGAAGGGCTCAGCTCTTGCCAAAAYGGCATTTTTTTCAGCTTCATACTAAATCAGTGGAGTCTCCCCATAGGCTGCTGCTTTTCTCTCTTTTTCTTTCTTTCCTTTAGCAAGGCCTTTTAACAGGCTCCCTGCAGCTAYGGGCTGTCATTCACCTGCAGTATTTCATTTTCATTCAGCAACTTCCTCTCTCCCAACAATATCCCTTTTGTCTGGTATTCATTCACTCCATCCCCTTCTCTCCTAACGTTTAGGGGACTGATTTGAATGGGTCAGAGTACAGAGAATTCTCTTTGCACGCTGAGATCAGAGCCAACACCTGAACCTGGTGACGGGCAGCTGACAATGAATGAGAGGCTCTGCTCTTTCAGCCTGCCTGTATGACACTGTCCTATGATGTTACACTGCTAACGTGGAATACGTCAAGTCTGACACGGACTCTTGAAACCAACGTCTGCATTTGCCCCTGGAAACCTAAAATTGCCAGCTTCCCTTCCCTCAGGCTGCCTAAACAAGTCCTCCCTTCTCTACCTTTAGGGCCTAAAGACTTGCTACGATGCATGTGGAAGTAAGAAGCAATGTTTTCCTCCCTGCCTCTCATTTCTTAAATCTTCCACTCGCAACAGATCAGGGTGGAGGGTGGGAGAGTCTTTGTTCTGGAAAGTCTATTGGTATCTAGTGCCAAAGTGAGGGCTCACTCCTTCAAGGGAGTCCCCAGGGCACATGATTAACTGCAGGCATACAAATCATTTTTCACATTGGGGATAATTCATTAAGCATCTGCTCCAGGGCTCTACAGGATGGAGATCAAAGAGCTCAAAATTACTATAGCAGAGAGACCCAAGAAAAAGGAGGGCTAGGAAAGGCTTTACCAACGTCTTGGTTCTTCACATACAGGTACTCCAGTAAGGTTTCCAGGCAGGCAACCACAGCCTGAGAGAGCAGCAAGTCTTTCTGGAATGCCCGGAATAAAAACAAAACAAAACAAAAACACAGGTAACAGCTACTGCAAGAATACAATCCAGAAAATGGCAGACTCTGAAGAGCAGCAGCATAGAACAGAAACACCCTTCATCTCCGTCATGGGATGCAATGTGCTGTGAATGATCCATCATGTCAAGGAGTCRGACAAGGGCAGGACTTAGATTCTGACTATAAAAATAAGCAACAGTCTTCAAAAAAATCTGGGAAGCTACTGCCACTCAAGACAGCTAAATGGGAACTGATGAACCATTCCCCAAAGCAGCTTGCTAGGGCTGTGGGGAAGGAGCTTGACACTTTCATTTTATTTTCATTTTATTTTATTTTATTTTATTTTATTTTATTTTATTTTATTTTATTTTATTTTATTTTATTTTATTTTATTTTATTTTATTTTWATTTTTTTACCAGCTCTGTCCCTAGGGTGCAGGGGCCCTGAGGAGTACAGGAGATGGGATAACAGAGACTGTGGTTAACACACAGAATTTAAGCTGCCTAGTTCAGCAGCAGGGAGAACCACATACGTTGTTTTACCTCCTTACTGCACTGTGCTGCATACACTGCAGCAAGAGTATTCCCCCTCCTCATCACCACAGGTCTGTAAGGGGTGGAAAAAATGAGGAAAAAAAAAAAAAAGGGCAGACCCGTGAGTGCTCTTGCAGGGTGGCCTCTCCTCAGGTTAATGKAAGTGTTTGAACCATGGCAGCACTAGCATGCTTCCCAAGCAGTATTTTATATACCTGCAAGTAGACATGCACCAGGAGGTTCTGCAGACTGACCACAAGGGAGAAGACCTGCCACGGAGCAAGGGGGCGCAGAGCAGAATCCTCCCGAGACGCCAGCTGGGCTTCCCTCCCAGCCTGCGCTGTGGGCTGGGTGACACTCAGCAGCAGAGAGGAGAAGTTCTGCCGCAGGACAGCTCTCAGGACCTGCAGGATGCTTACTAGACACAGAACCACTCCTCAGTAGATAGCGGTGCTTTCCTCTCCCCTGCCCTTTGGGTTGGTGCCAATGCCAGGCCGTGAGAGAYATGAGAAGACAAAATTCAAGCTTAAGGGCCCACCGGGGAGGCACCACAGTTGCTAAAAGATGCTTTAAGAATGGTAAGAAGTTCCCCTGCTCACCTCCCACTCTGGCATGCTGAGACCTATTTTATGCTCAKCTCTGGACGTCACTGTCCACCTCCAAGATGAATTATGAATTTATCCATTTATCCATCCCTTTTTTTCCTTTTTAATCTCTTTTGCTTTTCTTTACCATCAAATATGTACTCCGTATGCCATCTGTACCAAAGCTTCAAGATTCCACCATCACCTACACAGCCCTGTCTCTCATTCACTTTGCCCTTAAGAGGCTTCTGTCTCCTTTAACCTGGTACTAGCACCTGCTTCAAGTCACATCCTACAACARACACCAAATACCTAGCAGTAGGATGGGCTTCTTCTTCCTAAAGATTACTGCATTCAGGATATCTGTCAGGTCTAGGGAGAGCGTCTGGTGAACCTAGAGGAAATACAAGAAAAAAAATGGTGCTGATCTGGCCTGGCACTTCCAGTCCTTAGACACTATCCCATGATGATATTCTGGGGGGGGAAAAAAAAAAAAGGCACAGCAATGAGGCTTCAGGACTCTGATCCAGAAAGGAAAGTCACRTAACTGGGGCCTCCTCTTGCTTCACTCATTACCACCTGGCAGCCCTGCAGAGCTTCCAGCCCCAGTGACAGCTCAGCAGGCCGCGCTGCCCGCCCCTCGCCCCTGCCTGCCCCTTGGCACGCGGCTGCCAGGCTGCCGAGCAGCGGGAGCACCAGCACAGCCAGCACCGAAGACCGCCTGACCTCGACCACTTGAGGCCTGTCAGCAAGGCCGATGAGCTGTGCGGCCACAGAGCCACAGTGACAACAGACAGCTGGTCCCGGCTGCTCCAGCTGGGAGCCCAGGGCCGGGAGCTGCTTTCCGGGCGAGCACAAGGTGTGGGCGAGGGAGGCTGGCACTCGGACTACGGAGTCCTCTCCGGAAACGGAGAGGACTCAGCAGGAGAGTCTGCCGTGCTTCCTTCCCAGAGCTGCCATGCAGCAGGGAATGGCATCCAGTTTCAGAGCGCGCSAGGAGGGGTTGAATTTGCTCTGCAGCAGGACACAGAGCTGGCATGGGCGGGCAGGTACTAGGATCACTGTGCTTATTCCTTCAAATTGCCTTCCAAAGAGAAATGCTCGCCAKCAGAGCTGGGAACACATGAAAGCAACATGGGTAGCAGTGGTTGTTTATCTAAGCACTGTCAAGACAAAGTCCTTAATAAGCATCCAACCCGTGGCCCAAGCTTATCCACAGCCCCAAGCAGCTCCTGGCTCCTGCTAACGTCGCCAGCAACAGCACAGTTAAGGCCCCAGCTTGCTCTGGGCAGACAAGTCCTCATTAACACCACCAGCCTGAGATGAACACGGGCAGCTCACGCTTCTCAGAGCCACTGTTCCCTCTAAATAAGTGCAAGCTCCAGGAGAAAGCCTGGCGGCAGCCCACAGCMACACTGGCCAAGGGCTCTCAGCAAGGGCCTCCAGGATGCTTGTGCAGCATGAGCAATACGCAGCAGAAAGAGAAGGGACTCTACATCACTTCTGCTTCCCCCTCATGAGAAGATCAGAAATGTTGAAGTTTAGAAGTGCTGAAAATTAAAAGCCCCGAAGCATCCTGGAACTTCTCACATTTGCCACCTGCATCTGTAGTTTCTTTCCACACCTCTGGTGCTAGACAGATTCTGGATTTCATGTCACAGTACATCAAGCCAATAAAGCACTGGCTAAAAAGCAGGCTTGTAAGTGATTAAATGATTGCACTTCAAGGATCAATACAAGCTGAGAAAGTCTCTCCCAGAAGATGAAACTCAATACTGGCTCTTTTGGGGACTGACCACCCAGACACAGCCCTGACCTGTCAACTGCAAAGTGTGTAACACTGCTAGAGAGGGACAGGCAGGTCTCCCTGCACATTTACACAGCTGTCAGTGCAGACAAGACCAACGCTGTAAGAAGTAACCATGCACACCCATGAAGCAACAGGTACAGGCTTGGTCTGGTTTGTCCCTTTGGAAAAAACCCTCCCACGACATTAGAAAACCAACCCTTGCCTATGAGWGCAGATGCCTGCGGATTTTGTCATTCATGACCAGACTCACTGAGTCATTAGGAACAGCCTCAACCAGATGCAGCTGCAGGAACAGAGCTCAGATTCAAGCCACGCTGTTTAACTTCATTTCGGGAGAGGAGGGATAAGCAACGGTAGATGCTTGGAAGGGAATGTAATCCCCTCATGTTGGCTTTGGAAAGTGCCCCATTCCCTCACTTGTAACTCCAAAAGCAGCCCACTGCTCCAGCTCAGCTCTCCTGTTGGACTGCAGAGCACTGAGTAGAATGACAGCTGCCCACGTTCACACCAGCTCTGCTAATATTGGGGGCTGATTTGCCAATAACAGATTTGGATTGTGCCTGTTCCACTGATGATTATTTCGGAACCAACAAAACATTTTAAAACATRGGTGTTGCTCCTCCCACCACCAGCCTTCCCTTCAGGAACACCTTGAAAAGTATTTTGTCCTGTCATGAAGAGGAAAGTGTTTTGGATCGAGAGGGTTGCCTATGTTTTTCTTTCCCAGGACTTTTCCCCTCTCCATAGCTCTCCAGTGATTCACACTGCAGCCTTCAGAAGCTTGCTAGCCTCCAGCCTGGCTGCAGACGTGCACCAAGGAGCAAMTGCAATAATGAAAAGGCTCCCGAGGGGACCTCATTCCAGCCCAATGCAAGTCTTGTCTTCCTTCCTTTCTTTTATTTATTTTTTTGGTTGGGGGAGGTTGGTGGGTTTGGTTTTTGTTTTATTTAAGGTTTAGCCATTCCCTGGATCCATCTGCAAGAGAGATTCTCACCTCGGCATTGTACTGATGCTGGTAAACTAAGAGGGAAGCCACCAAGAGCCACCCAGAGCAGAGCACGGTGTCTTCAGCCGACAGGCAAGCGGTCGCAGAGGGGCAGGAGCGCAACCAGGTGCGCTGCAAAACCTTCTGCAGCAGCTCGAGCAAGGACACGTTGGACAGCAGCACGGCCACAGCTGCGCAGGAGGAACAGCATCAGAGAGGCACGGGCGTGGCACAGGATAAAGCAGCCTGACAGGCAGAAGCAAAGTGCTGAGCACGTCCCTGCCGCAGCRAGGCAGCCCCAAAGGCCCCAGCTCATCAGAAGGAGGCTGTCCAGCTCCGTTGGTATTCATGGGACACAGCCCAAGTGACAGCTAGGCCAGCTAATAAAATGACCGGTGCTCAGCTAACACAGCTGCGAGGTTGCTTAGAGCTGCCCCTCTTGTCTAATTTTTTGAAGCATGCCAATTGAAGGGCATTTCAACAAGGCACCAAAGCCCAACTGCTGTGTTTTATGAACAAAACAAATACAGTGGCTCTGTCTCTCAGCAGCCAAATCCTGAATCATCAGAAAGCAGAAAAACAAAACAAAGCAAGCACAACCTAAAAACTTCATTCCAAATACAAAATGTTCTTTGTTAACTGTAACGTTGCAACTGAAGACAGAAAATCGATCTTACCTGCTGAGAAGGTTAGAACACAATCTGTGATGGCCAAGCTACAGCTTGGTAASAGCCATACTGAAAATAGCTCAGCAATCAACACAGTCCTGCCTCACCTCGCTGTTGACTGCTAGATGTTGTTTGATGAAGGCTCCAGTACAAGAAATTCAAGGATGGCTGCAGGAGGTCGGTGTCCCTCGGCGTACATTTGCCGCAGAGGTTGCTCACTGGAAGTGAAAGAATTTGTAGCAAACACAGCAGCACAGCAGAGCACCTCAGTGCAGGAAAGAGGTCAGTCAGCGGAGGCAGAACTCAGGCAGGAGCAGCACAACCTGAAGTGACACTAAGCAGAACATGGCCCAGGCAAAGCAAGAGGGTCTGCCTCACAGTCCCCTTTACACCAGGCACAGTGCTCTAGAGAATGATAACAGCAGGACACAAAGCAGGAAAGGGTTTATTAAAGGGAATAGATTACATTTTGCAGTAATAACTCCAAGAGATACGGACTATRAGATAAGCTACCTGTTTCTAGAGGCAGAGCCTGACTCTATTACGTTAATATTGCATTAGTCAGACACCCATGTGCTTATCTCAAGTCATAAATGGCCAGGCTGGGGAACCACATGGATAACTGTTCCTCCAGTCTCACAAATTCTCCTTGTATCAGTAATAAACTCACCACGCTGGTTGTAAGCACCAAACATTTAGGAGCMGTGTTTAGCAAGAGAGTTTGGGAGGGAAAGCCACATCTATAGGGCTCAGCAACTGTTGCTGCAGATTGTTTGAAGAGCTGAAAGTCTGAATAAATAATCCTCAAAAGCCATCTCAAYGTGCCTTCGGGCTCGTTGTCACAAGCTTCCAAGTGGTGTCACGGCCATGCAAAAACTTGGACCTCCTYGTGAGGTTTCAGACAACAACAACAATAAATGTAAAGGCAGGAGGTGGAAAATTTGTGTTTCACTGCTTGAACTGGTAACAAGGGCTGTCTGCACCACTCTGCCTATGAAAGTGCCTTAAAGYAACCATAAATGTAGTATGGGATACACACTCTCCAAAAGGATGAATAGGCAGTCCCTAATCATCACATGGAACAACTAATGAATGCAGAGCAAAGCCCCCTGAGAGAAGACAGACGGGCAGACTCACCCTGGTGAAGCAGCCTGAAGTCTGTACTGTCCAGCTCCCTCACATCCCTGCTCCGCAGGTGCACCAGGAAAAGGAGGTTCAGCAAAAGAGGCAGGTTCCTGTTAGCTAAGAAGGGGACAGACAACTTTTCAGCAAACTCTAACCTGCTCTACCTCAAAATGTGCCAAGAATTGTGAATTTTCAGGCTCGGAGATGAGGGTTAGGTTGAGGGGAGCAGGTATTCCCCCTTTCCATACATGCCCACGCATACCTCCCCGACCCCACTGTGCTCTGCACAGCCCCCTCTAAGCCAGGCCCCCTTCCTGCCTCTGTGCTGGCCTCGAGTTACACACTAGGTCCTACCAACCCTGTTGTAGGGACAACGAGCAAWGAGCAGGAAAAAAAAAAGGAGGCTACGCTCACCATTTATACTCTCAGAGAACCACATAAGGTGCCTGTTTACCACACATTTAAATTCACACTGCTCATTAGCTCGTAACCACCATYCCTTTGCAGACTGCTCTTTTCCCTTCTGCTTGCCATCACTGCTTGCCAAACTGTGCAGGTTTGGCACAGAAGAGCCAAACATATTGCARACACCTACGACCCCAGGAAAAAAAAAGTCCTCACAAAGACTCGGGAGGTTTCAATTTTGAGAGGGAAAAGTTTACAGATGTCTTTAATATTAATGGGTTCTTGATGGAGTCCCACTGTCGGGGCTTGTTGTTGTCTAAGGGCAGGCTGCTGTTTGAACAGGGATGCAGAGTCCTGGGCTGGCATTCCCTGTCCTGGCTGTCACAGAGAGCTGTCTGTGTGCTGTGAGACAAGGAAGCCACATCCTGAGGGCACATCTGGGGCGCCACTTTCTGGATGAGGCTGCCAATAACTCAGCTAACGAGTTCAAGGTGCAGCATGAGTAGAAGCTGAGGATATTAGAAGGAACAGAAGGGGCCTAATCTGGCAGAAGCCCCTCTAGCCCAGTGTCCTGAAGAGCTGGGTCTGGCTCAGCAAGGACAGCAATCTGCCCCTCCGAGTCCCTGGCATCCCTAGCTAGTGACAGAGAGAAGCCATGACTCAAAGTGTGTGCTACACCAAACAAGATCAGACCTAGCAGGATGTTAACACTGCCTGCTTTATTCACACCCTGGGGCCTCATACTCTGCCAGGCTCCTGTTTTGAACTCCTCTCCAGCCTATCACATCTGGCTAAACATGAGCCAAAAAAGCTGTGTGTTCCCCCTCCCTAATGAGGACAACAAAGAGCTAGGAGGAGGCTGCATTCCCATCACAACTGCTGCCCAGCAAAGACTTCCAAGAAGAGCAGGGCTGTAACAAGTGTAAGTGCCCCCCGCCAGGAAAAAAACAAAGGCTGCCCTTGGGGAAGCCAAACAGATCCCTGCAGTGCTTCCTCCTCCAATGCAGGCTTACGTGCTGCTTTGCACAGGACTTTTTGCAACGGGACAACAGTCTCTGCTCCAAAATCTGGGCTAGTAAGAAAAACAGAGAGACTCTCCAGCTAAATCTTTCAAAGATGTAACGGATCTATGAACCCTGGAGATATCACAGTTCCCTTCTGGGGATCCATATCATGCATGATTCAGGTTCTCTCTCCTGCTAGCCTCTGTGCCCTGGGAGCTATAGTCAGGCTCGCCAATTTGTTTTTCTCGGAGCAGGGGCAAAAGCAGAAAGCTCTTCTGTCACCACTGACCACTTGCTTAAGCAGGGAGATTTGCCCCGAGCAGCTCTCCACGTGAAAACTTACGGCAGCATGAGAAAAGCCTGCCTTGGCTTAACACTCACACTTCGAAAACACAACCACCTAAACCAAAAAAATAAAACCTCTCCTTTTAGGAGCTTCTGCAAAGGGGAATTGAATCAGTACAATTCTGCCAGTAAATTTCCTCATGCAGATAAATACTGAGGCTACATCAGCAGTTTGGAAACCCATCAGCCCAGACCGAATCCCTTCAGCACGTAACCTTGCTGGATCCCACAGCAAGACCCAAAACATAGAGGGAAGTCACCTTGTAAGGAGGCAGAGCTGCTCTCCAGCAGCAGCTGCTGCAGGATCTGCAGGAACTGACTCCGGAGGAGGTCACAGACAAGGACATCCTCATTTCTTTCCAAGAAGGATCTTAGAGTCACCAGCACCTTTTGAGCCACGTCCACAGAGCTTGAGCAGACCAAGTCCTGGGAGGGAAAAGCACACATTACTTTCTGTTTTCTTACTTACCACTATGCTAATCCAGTGCCTTAGGAAACACCCTAATAAAGCACAGTTCAGATTAAGTATGTCCCGATTAAATGCAACATTGCATAAGGCAGGCAGGCTATCTTCCTATAGGCACCACTGGATAACACCCCATTTAAAGCATTTGGCTCTTTACCTCCCAACATATATTTAAGGTCAATATTTTAGCAGATGAGTTCCTGAAGTCAGGGCCTGGTTTTCAAGAATATAGATCCTCTGGCACTTCTGCTCTTCCTGTTGTTGTTTTAGAAAAATCAGGCCACATAGTAGGATGCTTACTTAAAACCAAGCTTGTGAGTCAGTCCATAGCTACTTATTTTGAGAAGTCTTGGGCTGGCAGCCTGGTATCTGCAGCAGCAACGTAACAGCTAAACTGCCTGAAACGTAAACCAGTCAAGCAATCACTCAGGCACTGCAACCGGGAGAGCTGGGTGCAGAGCATGCAGCCCCCAGGCCTGCTTCTGGAACACAGCTCCCTGGGGAGCCAAATCCCACGCCACTAGCCTTAACTCAGGCACACTTTTGCATACAAGTATAAGCATAAGCACAGTTCCATAAAATTCAGGTAGGAAACATTGACGTTACGATATTACATAGGTCAGCGCCACCATCCCTTCCTCCCCTGTACTCCTGACTGCTGCATTGCAAAGGGAACAGCAGAAAGAGGGAACCAGCAAAGGAAACGGCATTGAGCAACGTTGCCAAGCCCACGGCYTGCCAGGAGCGCCCACCCAGCCTAGAGCCCTTCTTTTTTGGCTGTGTTCCCTTCTCGCATGATAGTTATACATCCAGACCAGATGGGGGAGAGGAAAGGGGCCAGGGAAAATGGTTACGGCAAGAAACGGCTGCTGGTGCCAGAAAAATTCCTCCAGCTTTGAAGGCTCATTCCTGCCTACAGCTGAGACCTTCAGGAATAAGCAGCAGGCAGCTGGCTGCACAAGCAGCTCCGATGGCAGAGAACTGCTCTCTGGCACCTTTTCTGCCATATTTCTCACTCCAGCACATGYCAGAAATACTGCACATAAAGGGGTACAACTGTGAGACACCAGCACTACGAGCTTAACCCAACCCAGGGAAAATGCTGGATGTTCCTCCTCTGCAGGATGCAGAGACCTCCTTACGAAGAGAGACTAAAAATACCAGGAGCATTCCGGATGGGAAGAGCAGCACTGTATGGTGCAGAATTAGGAATGATACAGTGAAGGTAGCACCATTTACCTTCCCTCACTACACAAGGGCGAGGGGATATTCAGAGAAATAAAAGAGATGAATTTGATACTGCTCAGCCAAGTCCATCCTGCAGGGCTTCCTGTCACAACGTGCACCAGGCCAGCTGGGCTCAGCACACAGGCTGAGCTGCTATTGGAACGAGAATATCCCCTGAAGATGTGGATGATAAAGTTGGCAGGGGAAGCATCCATCTTAGACCATGACAGAAAACACCTGTAGCTTCCTGCAGTTAAGACGACAGCTTCTGCAGGTGAAGGTTTTTCCATAATTGCTTTCTATGGAAAATTATCATCTCAATTCTCTCTCTGAGGAAAAAGCGACACATAATCTGCTCTGAAAGCCAAGTTTTATGGACTCAACACAGCGTTAAGTACTTGTGTTTATTCTCAATTTCTCTCTTCAGCTTCTCTCTTTTAGTGATATTGAGGAACATAACCTAATGTCAGCCAACTCGCTCCCATGSCCTAGGAGAGCAGCTCAGATCTGGACCACAGAGAAGCCAGGTGGGCCAGTGTGTGACAGTTACCACATTTATCACCAGGTGGACACACATGGCACAGAACAGTGTTAAACCAAGGGTCACAGCCCTCCTGGCCCTGGTAAATGCTTCCCTGTATTRACATTTTCCTTCTTACTCAGGAGCTGAAGGTCTCCAACGAAGCCACTAACCATCTGCTCTATCTAATCCAGACATTTATTAAAAGCAGATAAGCAAATAAATCATCCTTGGAAGGATATTCATTTTTGTTTCACTGTACCATGCAGAGACCTTTCATTTTACCATTGCTTTCTCAGGCTGGGATTATGCACCTCATAAGTTTTGTTTATATCTGACAGTATATTTATTCTAGGATATTGCACTGCTTTATTAGCCCATCTAAATTCAGATTGATTATACTCTTCCCCAAAAGAGAGGTGAATTGTCAAAGCCTGTGATTTATTACAGTTCACTTTAAAGACTGGGACAGAGCTAAATTAATTTATTTCTGCAAGAGCACAAGGCAAGACAGACAAGGGGAACGCAGGGCTGCTGCACCGTTCAGAGAGGGAGCCGTCATTTCTCTTTGGCCAGTTTATAGACCTGTGATGTATTTGCTCGTACACAGCATGTGCTGTGATACATATGCTTTAGCTTGAGTGACAGGTTCCAAAACTATTGCCAAAGGGAGACAAGTCTCATGGGACACCTCTTCTCATCCACGCTGATCTGTCAATGTATTAATTGGCTTTTACTAATAGTCGGGAAGCAGCATCAAACACCCGGATGTTGTTACCTGCTCTACAATAACACCCAAGCCATCCTGAGCAACATACCATCCTGCCAGTCTTTTCAGTATCCTGGGATATTAAAAATTATTTCACGACCTCTTAGACCAGAATAAATACATGCCAGTCTGTAATGCCTGTGTTAGATGGATTCCTAGCCTCCAGCCACCTCAGGCACTACAACCAAACCCTGCTTCTTCTCTGCTTACTGGCATGGGGGGTTATTCCCAATGTGACATATCTTTACCTTCAATGATGGGTTGGAAGAAAAAAATCACAGATCTTAGCTTTTGCTCTTAGCAAATCTCATGTCTTTGTGTGGAAAGTTAATAAATATTTGCTGTGACTGGCTAAGTAGTCATTGGCAAGGGGTCACTGATGCAGAGGGGTGAGAGATTAGGTAGGAGAGGTGAAAAGGAGAGAAACTCTCTGAGAAGCCATCGGGACCTGACTTCTGTTATGATTACACAGGCCAACAGATCTCATTTCACCAGCTAAGCACAAAAACACAAGTCCAGTTACTGAGAGGCCCCTTTCTCCCCTGCAGCAAGCAGTTCTCTCTCATCTTTTATTATTATTACTGTTGAAGAACAACACAATGGGCCTTTTGCAGTCCTGAAAATTCAGAGCATTGCAGCAATCTTAGACAATACTCTCCAGTTCAACACAAACGAAGTAAAAAAAAAAAAAAAACAGAAAAGCTGAGCCCTGAGGTCCTGCTCTCTGCATGCTGCTTTTTGAAAGTTCTTTGTTTCTCATATCCTTCTCATCCATCAATAGCCACCACTGCTCCCAAAATAGCAAACAGCTTTTTGAAAGAGTGCCACAGAAGGATCTAGAGCACCCAGCAGTCTATCTGGACAGGGAAAGAGTAAAGCCGATGAATTTTTTTCCAATGCAAATATCACAGCCCTCTCCAGATCCCTTCCTGGCCAGCTTTCCAAAGACCCCATTCTATCACAGTGGAGAGCAGAAGTGCTAACACACACACCAGCGCCGTTTTCCATAGCAGGTTTGCCTGGGAGGTGGAAAGCTGTGCATACAGCTCAATTCTTTGCACTCAGAAAAACACCAAATACTTTTAAAAAACAACAAGCCCTAAGTGCTCCCCCTGAATCATGGCCAGAGATCACAGGCTGCCTTTGTGAGAGTCACGTACCAGTAAAATAAGTAAAATGCTTGAATTGCTCTTCAGAATGGGAAGCAAAGGGTTGGCCCTCTTCAGCTGCTCAGACACATCAAAACCAGCTTGTTCRGCTTCACTTTGATTGCAGTCTTCCCGGGAGAACCAGAGTTGAAGGACCTGGTGTCCAAATTTGCCCATAAATTCAGGGTAGCRCAGGAAAAAGCTCAGCAGAAGCGGACAGTGAACGTAGACCAAGCCCAGATCTGGCAGATTATCCAGGATCCTCTTTATGGCACATAATGACCTCTGACAAGTGTGTGGGAAGGAAAGGGAGAGAGAGGACAAAATCACAACCAGATAGTGAATATCCAAAAGCTGAAGTGATTAGTATCTACCGTGAGAAAAAGTCACACTGCCTTTGGAGTAGACAATCATACAGATCATTTCGTGAGGCCCATTTGCATCACAAAGGCTAAGAAACTTGTAGGCTTTATGCAGTGCTCCAAGCTGTGCAGCAGCAGAAAGCCATATGGGAACGCTAGAAAGCACGCTGCAGAGGCTGGGGATGTGTTCAGGAGATTGGAGCCAYGAAGCTTATAATATTCGGTACGTGAATTCACAGCCTATCCAACGCATTTACACTTCCCACACATAACACAAGCTTATTCAATCAAACCTCTATCCCCTAGTGGCTTTTCACAGTTAACTTTCCAGGGCATTGCGGCACTGCACACTTTCCACTCATTCATCACTCATCATACACATCAAARTATGGCCTGCAAGAGGGCGGGGAGGAACCTTAGTTAAACTGCACAGAAAAGGTCCAAGATGGGGGAATGAAATCGTCTTTTACCAAGTCCAGGTCTTTGCTTTTGTCCTGACAGACAGCAAGGAAGTAGAGCACAGCTCTGAATATGTATGGAGGAGGACAGTCTCCACGGTCCTGGGCTGACAGAAGGAAAGTTTTCATGGCTAAAAACAATTCTGCCTCTGGGACAAACCTGCAGTCAAGGAGTTTGGAGAAGAAACAGGAAAATCGGACAAGTCTCACCCACTGCAAATTGGTGCATGATGGCCAAAATAACCCACAACCGTCCGTGTTTGTATACACRTGGCTCACCTGTCCCCAAAGGTGTAGGCAAAGTATAAGAGGAGTATGAAGCAATACTGGTGGCTGCACAGAGACTGATCCAAAGAGAAAGGTTCRGGATTTTCAGTCAGGAGGAGGAGGCTTTCAGGAACTGTGTAGTTTAACTGAGGCAGGCCCTTCTGCAGGAGCTCAAACATCTCTTGCTCTGGAAATGCAACCAGTATGAG